TGCGTCAGCGATTGGTCTTGGGCTGCAAGTGGCTGCAACAAGGCCACTACAGGTCAACAGAGAATAATGCTCCTCAGTCTTAAAAGCCAACATAATAGTTGAAATGAAAATTTCCCGATAATGTCAAAGTTCCGGAGACGTAAAAATTGCTATAAAATTAGAACAATAAATTTAAATCTTTTTTACGTTTAAAACGAAACGTAACCAATTTCTATATATATAAAGATGTTTTCCTTAGTCAAAATATTTTTACATATATTACCATTAACGGATAACTATTTGTTGAAGATCGTCCAATAAAGTTTGGCATAATTTCCATCCTTTGCAGTGTCCTCATGTGTTGATTCATAACTTGCGCTTCTGTTCGACGTTTACATCAAAACCCTTAAAATAAAATATCAGCAAAGAGCATTTACAGAAAAATGAGTTTTTGGATATTAATTCTTATGAAAAGGGCCATGTGGATCATATTGAGAAATGCTTCAAAACAGCCAATCACACTGTCGAAAAAAAATAACGTCCGCCACGGAATTCTGATATTTTTATTCCTGAGATTAATGAAAAACGTTCCATACTAGATTATCTCTTTAAAAAGTGCTTCAAGTATATATTTGCAATCTTATGCAATGCGGATTAGCGAAAGAGCACCAATCATTCGCATATGTCGGCATGCCACACGAATTCTAGGTCGTACCATACGTTGCAAGCAATGTTTGGCGAACCATTTCTTAGTGGCCGAATGGGCGCGTTTCAACAATTTTTAATCATTTTATCACTTCAGCTCCGTCTTTACCTGCAAACATTCGGGCAAAGCAGGTAAGCGCAAACGAAGTGCGCATCACCTGGGACACGCCTGCATCCGCACGAGTCAGAAACACCGAGGTGATGCTTGTGAAATCCTACGAGAGTGGGAAATTGCTGAACTCTTCCAAAGCACCCGCGTCCAGTGGTAGTCATGCAGTGACGGGAATTAAACCAAACACGGTCATGTCTTTCACAGTCCAGCTCATCAAACCGGGAGCTCTTGGAGGTGTCAGCGAAATCATGCATCCGCCCGAGATCATAACCTGGAGAGAACGTAAGTTGCTTAGGCACCAGCTTTCATGTTTTGCAAGTGATTCGTTTAGCCCTTTTTAGTCGTCTTATCACGCAAACGTCCAAAAGAAATGAAGGCCGCATCGAGGGTATTTTTGCTTTTTTCCGGCCCAGCTGGTGGTCAGGTTTATGCTTGGCTGAATAAAGACAAACAAGCCCGAAACAGTTCTGTATCAAATCATCCCCAAACGCTGTAATCCCTCTCTACTATTATGACTTGGCTGGCATCGGCCTGGCAGGTGGTCACCCGTTTCGGGACCTCTAGCCACCTCGTGAACTGTGTTTAGTTCGGAAGCCTATTGGATCGGTGTTCGCACATACCTGAGTGAATATATATATATATATTCTATATGACAAAGATGTTATACCGTACTTCCACAGGGTTATTCAACGGTAGTTGATTGTCTTCGATAAAAATTTTCTTTAAAATCTGCCATATCATATCACGTAATATACATATCATGTTCCTAATAATTTCCGCGATAATTTCCTTGATTAATATCTGGAGGTAATATACTAGAAAACGCAGAGAGAACGTTGGGGGATCCACTGAGGAGCCGAAACCCTCTTTGCTGTATCATGCAGTACCAGAAACATCGGCGAAACACGTGTCTGGGCTTTTAGCTAGTATCTATATGGAAGTACTGTCATTGTCATATATATATGGGTTAGATCCGACAAAGCAAATGGAGACCAGAATGGCTATTTCTGGCTTGTTAGCCGTCATCAGCAAGTCATACCCAATCTCAAGGGTCGGAACGCCTGTACCTTTCGAATCAGGTACCTCTGGTCATCGAGTTGACTTCTTTACCACTGCACCACGGGCTCGTTACTTTGTCGGTTGAGATCGGGAATATGATGAATAAAGGAAGAAGGACAAAGACAAGGGAGACTAGGATAGTCACTTCTGGCTTATTAGCCATCGTCAGCAAGTCATACCCAGACCCCAGGTATTGGAATGCAAGGAAGTTGTGGGACGAAATCTTGCCCATGGAAACAGTGCTTGCGGATTATATGGTTTAGTACTGACTGGTTGCTGAAACACGCATAAGTAGCATCAACCGATACGGGAGAGTTTTCCAATAGTGCGTTTGTTGACCCACCTCTCAATTCAGCTTTGCCGCCATCAGAGCCATCAGTTTACGGAACTTTAATTATGACATTTCTGTGATATAGTTGCAAGAAGTTTCAGTGCTTGATTTTAGGGAATATTTTTAATGCGCAACCACTAATATAAAGTTTGTTTTCGGTTTCAGAACCGCCTGCTCCACAAACTCTTGAGGTGACGGCTAAAAGAATAAACAGTATCAGCGCCTCCTGGACTGACGCCAGTGACAAGGCAATTCACTCGAAGTATCAAGTAAGAGTTACGGCCAATGACACAAGGAAGATGCAAATCCTTGAAACATCCAACACGGAGATCGAAGTGGATAACCTGGAAACCTTCATGGACTATGCCGTGGAGGTGGCGAAATTCAGTAATCCAAACCAGAATGGCGAGGGCGCCGTGCCGGGTGAACCAATCGGAAAAACATTTAAAACATGGCCAGGACGTATGTCTTTCATGTTTAAAGTCGATTTGTTTAAGAACACTTCCAGAATCTAGTTCGGTCAACTTGGCAAACACATATTAGGCAAGTATCAGTTGCTTAAAAACACATAATGTAAAACCACAGGTATAAGTTCCCAGTAAGAGGTGTTTTCGTAAGATTCGGTCAAGTGATGTGTCATGCATATGACACACAGCTTACCTAAATAATCTATTATTTGCACGCGGTAATTAATATTGACCAATAGTGCCCAAGTGGACTTAATCGTTGACTGTATGTGAACTTTATGGAGATGGTGTAGAGATTATATAGAGGTGATATAGATTGTGTGCAATTGGGCAGTATTGGGCCATTTTATATATCGCGCGTTAATATTGGGTTATTTGGTTATTATAATAAATATTCCTATTAGGTTCTACTAATATACGATCTAATTAAACACATGTTAGGCAAGTACTAGTTGCCTAAAAATACTTAATTTAAAACCACAGGTAAAAGTGTCAAGTGAGAGGTACTAGTTGTTTAAAAACACATGCTGTAAAACCCCAGGTATATGTGTCCAGTAAGAAGTCCGTAAGATTCGGTCAAGTAGGGTGTCATGCAGATGGCAGCCAGCTTACTTAAATAAGCGAATTTTTGCGCACGATAATTAATATTGTCCAATTGTGCGTAATTAGACACAATTGTCGACTCTTTATTAACTTTATGGAGATTGTATGGATATTATATTAAAAGGATATCGTCTATGATTGGGTCAAATCGT